CGTTGAGAGCAGAAATAAGATCTTTGATTTCCAGGTTCGAAAAAGTACAAGTGATCTATTCTCCAATCGTACTCATAACTAGTCGTGATCAATAAGCATATAAATTCTGACAACACTTATTAGTTTTCGAGTATGTGGCAACTTCGGGCTTCCGCCCCCGCAATACAAAAGTCCTTTGAGCCCCTTCCAACGAATGGCCTAATACAATTTTTTCCCCACCGCACCTATCTCTCATTATGCTAGTTTCTCTAGACAGAGGAACCCTGTGCCGAAAACCAAGGCGTTATTGGGATGCGTTTATGTTCCATACAGCCCAGGAAGATTTCCGCTTGCCCAAAGAGGTTGCTTTCTCCGTGAGATGTCCTATCCTACAAGTAAAATTTAACTCATCTTTGTTAGCAACTGAAATAATTAAGAAGAAAACAATATTATTATTGAATATAATAATACAGGAATGGAGGTAATTTTTGATATTATTATATATAATATCTGAGTATGATAAAAGTAAGAAAAATGTTTAATGTCAGTAACTTAAGCGGCTGAATACCAATTGTAGTAAGTATTAGACTTTTCATTGCACGGCACTACCTTACACTTTTTGTAAGAAATTTGGTTTAGAGTTTAGCCTTTCAGAACGATACCTCCTTTTATTTTTTTTATACCAACATTACTATACCAAAATTCCTACTACCCCAACCAATCTTATAAATACTTCAAGTTTGCCAATCAATAATGGTAATAGATCAATGATATAATTATTAGCCAACAACTGTCCTTTGCCACTATTTCAACTCTATTAACTATTCATATAATGATATCTTCCAAAAGAAATATGACAATAAGGAGGTTAGAATTCAGCAAGCAATTGGTAAAATCTAGGGTAAAGACGGATCCAATATCTCTGAGTTTACCTGACAGTCTAAAGTATCAGAGCACTAACTTCATAAATACTAAAAGGGATATTAGTCTTGGCTGTAAAGAGAGTTACTAAAGGTGTTTTGGAAGGCTCAGTGGATTATACAACTTAAATACACAGAAGTTAATAGACAACAGCATTAAAAAAAACAGTAGGAGGAAATTTGCAAATAGATATATGAGGCAGTAAAGGAGAGAAGTAAGCAACAATAGCTTCAGGATCTGCTTTGTTATGAAATTGGACATTTTATTGTAAATCTTTCTTATAGCATGTAAGAAATCTATCATTGAACTGTTACTATTTAAGTTGTTGAACTGTGAGGCACTCCAGGGGAGTGCCACCTACTTCAAAGATTGGATAGCATCATTTGGAGTGGTGGGAACCTTGGTATAACTAGTGTTAGTGAGTCCCCCCAACCCTTACTAAGATTTGATAGTGCGCACTAACTCCGATCCGTTTAAACAACTCATTTAGCACTGTGCTGGAAAACGTATGATACGAAGGGATGCGATATGGAAAAAGTATAAAAAAAGTGCCCCACCTTACCGGCAAAGGCAACATAAATACTGTAGCTGGATCGTGAGTAAATTATGCAGTCCATGCATCACCAAAGCAATACTCCACAACTTATGCCTTCGCCAATCTAAATCCAAGACTCAAAATTAGACACCGGTTCCAGGCGAATCTTCTTCTCACCTTTTCATGAGAAGATAGTTATACACAAGATAGCCGCTAGACTACCGCCGCATCGGGGGGCGAGATTGTAGGGGCTCAATCTGTGTACTTTAATGATGGGAGTGGGGGGACATACAGTTTTTGAATTATCCACCTCCCTATGCCCCACTTGGTTTAATTAGAAGTGTTCATAAGAGTCGTCTCAGATGCTAGAATCTTAACTTATAAGAATAAAATGGTGGGAAAAAAATTAAGGTAGATACAAATACCTCTAGAATGCCTGAGGTTGTGATTCTTCTGTTTGGTAAGAGCGGTGGGTGCCGTCTGAGAGAGAGATTGCCGAGTATAATAATTTAGAAACTGCCACTTTTATTACACCTACAGCCTATCGCTCCCACAGACTCATATGGTATGATATCCGCCAACGTAGGAAGCCTGAATAAAAATAGAACAAGAACAGTCACTGAGGTTTACAGATGTGGGTACGCACGAACTCGGAAAAATCATGTATATTATATGCCCGATACAATATAGCCAACAAGACGTCAATCTGTACGCAAAATAACCCCAGAAAGAAGCCGCACGAAGCGCGACCTTCAGTCGCAGTGCAAAGAGTTATGCAGATTCGTGGGGGGATTGCTGGGGGGTGATATACAGCATCTCGAAAGAAAATAAACCAAAAAAAAAACGTCTCGATGGTGGCTCAGAATGGCGTGGATCGAATTCACACGGTACTCGAGTAACTATCTCTTGGGTTACTATCCATGTCCCCAGAGCTGTGTGGTGCTCTTGCGAAGGCCGCTGCAGGGGTGGAATTTCTGTGGAGTTTGCGCGCCGGTGGTTCTAGATCTTGGGGGTTTGTCAAATGATATCAGTTGAGGACAGCGTAAGGTGGATTCTGGGGATGTTGGCGTTATCATAGATACCTTTTCAGATCCTACGGCATGGGCGTGATACTTCTGGTAGAGTCTCTATTTCAGTTGAAATCTCAGTTTGGTAGTGCAAATGTCATCTATATTTAAGGCATGCATCATTTACCAAGATATTGTCTTGCGCCTGCTGGTCCTCCAGAGCGAATATACACGCGGCCCCGACTCCCTGGCCGCTTCCAATACCCCACCTTCACCCCCCCACCGCTTTCAAACCCCCTTTAAAATTTCTACAGCATCCTCCATCCCCTCCCTCACCGCCAACTGCATCGGCGTGTCATTGCGCTCATCCACAGCCGTTAAATCCTTCTTGGCTCTACAGTCCTTCACCAAAGCCTTGAGCACCTCCAGTTTATCCTCCACGGCCGCCAAAGGAAACCTCGCCACGGCCACGTGCAACCCCGCCCAGTCAGAAATCGGCACCCTGGTATTACAATGCACTCTCTCATCCGCCAACAACCGCCCCACCACATCCACCCTTCCCCACAGAATCGCCACATTCAGCGGTGTCCAGCCATACCCGTTTGCGGCATTAACCTCGATGCGCGGATGGCCGAGGAGCGCTTTGACGACCCCGTCAAAGCCCTTATCGCACGCGGTCAGCAGTGGGGTCTGCCCCCCGCTGTCCGGCTGGTTCGGGTCCACGCTCGCGTGCTGCAGGAGTAACGGAATGAGGACCTCGAGGCCGCGCGAGGTGGCGACGTGCAGGGGTGTTTGCCCGGATTTGTTTTTCAGCGCGGGATCCGTCCGCCGGTCGTCCAGGAGGAGGGAGAGGAGTTCGGGGATCGAGGGAAGGTTGGTGGAACATGCTATATGGAGCGGTGTGAAATGCATCCGGTCTTGGCAATTGAGGTTTATGTTTTTGCAGCGGTGGAGTAGTGACTTGACGATATCTACCGCCCCGATAGCCACTGCGGCCGAGAGTGCGCTTCTTCCTTTGTAGTCCCTACTCTCGACGTCAAGGCCGCAGGTCTCCAGCAGTGTCTCTATCACATCCGGGGGTTGGGTCCTGACAGCCTCGTGGAGGAGGGTCCCCTTGTTCACAACTCCGAATATCCCATTCTTGACTAGGTACTCGATCATGAGTATGTCCCTACGAGCGGCAGCGGAGAAGAGCGCGCGGCGGGCGGAGGGGAGGTGACCCGTGCGGAGTGTGGTTTGAGCAAGCACATAGCGGAAAATTGTTGCCAACCGGCGATTCGTGCGGAGGAAGGAGTAAGCGTCCTGGAGGGTTTGATATGAATATATCTCCAGAAGGATTTCGTTAGGGAGTGATAGTAGCGACATTTTGCCTTATACTATTCCACTTCCAGATCTACCGTTGTTATCGGGGAAGCGTAGATAGAGCGTGTGCACAGGGATGGGAAAGTGGAGAAAAACCTGGTGCAGAGCGGTCATCTCAGCGGGTCCCCAAACCGGTATATATCCACCCCCTGCCGCCATCACTGGTCTCGGGCCTGATGGTTTGTGACCATGAGGATCACGTCAACAACTCAGTAGAAAGCCGTCCTACCGGACTCCTCTTTGTCATCGTCCAAATTCTATTCCCATCCAGAATAGGTAATAAGACAATGCAAGGCATGTCCGAGTCTGCTTATTCTCTGTCCCGAAAAAAGGAAAGAAAAAAAAAAATGGAAAAAGAAAAGAATGGTCTTAACTTTATACTCGAGTACCACACCCATACATAGATCACCCGGCAGTTTCCCCCCAAAACTCTTATACTCGGGCTAAAGGAGTTGAGAGGGTCATGGGATCTCACCCGCGAAGGGCAGTCCGTTGTTAATCGTGTAACTGGAAAATGTTAATCGGTTAGACATCGGATATCATTCAACACTTCTCTGTATCATATCATATGTGGGGCTTTATGATAAAGCTTGTACGACGAATAAGTTTATTCGTCACGGGAGTTTCGGGGAGCTGGCGATGGGAAGGTTGGCTGTGATGCCCTCTTTTTATTTTTCCCGACCCATCGGATAACGGAAATACCCGCTGCAGTACCCAGGTGCCGAGAGATGTAACACCAGTAAGGTCCCCATCTGCCATGTTTGCCGGCGAGTTCGTGATACTATCACAGCGCATCACTCGGTGTGTTTTCCAATCAGGGTCGTTTAGCAACCAGACAGAGGCCAAAACACCCCAAAAGTGAGGGTTTTCGAGCCACGGTAACTCCACAGATATCCCGGAACCCAACTTTGAAAATATATATATTTCGGCCTTTTTCCCATTTGTAGAGAGCCCCGGACACATGAACTAGATAAGATCGGTTACAATAAATACCTTTCCCATACGAAAACCTGTCTCGGCGGGCACCTCATGGGAATGAACCTTCCACATCTCACAACTCTAAATCCCACACTTTTTCATACGCGTCCTATTGTAGCAGACTACTTTTTGAATTTTTTTCTATGTTGTTTCTGCCCATGGTGGTTGTGTAATGATAGCTCGAAAACTGTCACTTTTGGTGTGTTTTGGCCCTGTCTGGTTACTAAACGACCTCTATTGTTTTCTAATAAGTTTAATGCAACTCGTCAGCGAGGAATGCAGAGCGCATGGACTAAAATAGGGGCTAGAATTAGCGCCCACCACATGCACAACCCACTTGAGAACATTGCGCAAGTACCATACTCGTACTGTACTGTGCTCAAAAAAAAAGGGGGGGAGGGCCAAGCAATCGCTCCTTAGTCATGAAGGCTGAAACCTTCACTTTTTTTTGCAGTTCTATCTACAGAATTAACCGGCGAAAAGGGAGACAGGCTACACCAGTAAACAATCCACGCTCTTTTCCCGTGTGCCCTCCAAGGCACTAATAGGCACAATAGCTACCAACACTTCGTTTTTGTCTCGAGTTGCTCCTCATGCGAAGTAGCTCTTCCACAGCACTCCTTCCAAATCCTCTAGTTGATCTGAGGTGAACGCCTATTATACAGTTAGCTATCTCTTAAACAAACATGTCCCTCGGCCGAGTCCACATACCTTGACGTCTACGTGCCATGTATCCTGCCGTGTCTTCTTGAACTCCCCGAGGGCGCTCTTGACACTTTTACCAACCATACCGGGATCCGCCGCCGCTTTGACCGCAAGCGTGGCCAATACTTCCGGCAGCCAAAGGGGTGGTGGAGATGCGTACGGGAAGGCCTGGACAAGTGCACCAAGACCCAAGACCGCCGCATGACGGGTGATAACGATCCTTGTGTAATCGGGAGTTGGGGTACCCGCTGGGGATCTCTTGGGCAAAGGATTCCGAACCAGCATTCTGGTAAACTTCTTTTTCAGTTCTTGTACGATCCCCTCTCTCAACCTAACCGGCGAACATCGAACCATTCCGGATAACGTGGTCGCCGCCCCAATCCGAACTTCCAACTGCGGATCCTCAAGCATCATCGACACACAAGCGAATATTCGTTCCTTTTCCTCGGCGGTAATAAGGAATAGACGACGGAAGTATATTACTTGCATGTTGATCAGGACCCGCAACCGTTGATGCCAAAGTGGAGAAGTTGTCCCGATCCGTATCAGGGCAGAGATGAATTTGTGGTCCTGGTTGAACGGATGCGGAATATTTGGAAGGTGTCTGAAGACGTGGTAGGCAAGAGACATCAACTCCGGATCTTCTTTAATATCCATCATATGCAGCATCTCGCCCATGAAGACATCGGGGAAGAATGGTATCAACTGTGTGCACTCGTGGGAGGACAATGTGGTATCCAACCATAATAACACCGTCTTGCTTCCTGCTGTATATGATGAGGGCGATTGCTGTCCGGGTGTGCGCTCGTGTCTCCATTGCTCCAGTCGTTTGAACACGCTATGCACCGTTTCCGAAAATTCCTCGGTCGGGCCGTAAGGGGTTAATCCAACCGAGGATGCCTTTTCCTGTGCATCCATAAGGTGCCGCACATTCTTGTATGACTCGTGATGTCTAGATCTGTATATGGTCCCTAGCGTTTGTCCCATTGCCTCTCGTACACCTGCCCACGTGTACATGAGTAAAAACCACTTGTCTACCTTGATTAAGAGGGAATGCTCACCTTTATACGGATGATCAATGTGTTTCAGGAAGTCTTCCAAGATGGGCTTTTCCAATCGGAAATGCCAGCCTGCTTCCTGAATAGACTGTTGGAGAAGCTGAATCTTAGAGCTTTCCTTGAACGCCGCATTTGAGTTCATGTCCAATCGGTAGTTTGTTAGCCATTCCATGATAGGCCACGACCGTCTTAGATCCTTCCCTTGCTATTGAAATAGTTAATACCGTTAACAAAAGGTATAGGCAGGGAGAGACTCACCAAAACAAGATGCAAGAAAGACGACCAGTATGAGGAATTCTCGGGGGTGAGGCCCTCCTCAAAGATCCGCTTGACGATAGGAAATACATGAGCCCACATCATATCCCGGTTTTCAGCCGTCGAGTCTCTATATGCATTGACCAGAGCTCCAAGAATCTCCGCGGTTGCGCGGTGTTGATGTTTATCACTCCCATCCTCAAACACGGCCTCGGTTTCCTCTCTGAGCTGCCCATACGTAACTGATGTTAGTCCATCCCGAACTAGCTCGAAGGCGAACTGCAACAGCATTGAGCTGGCCATGCGGAACCTATCGGGTGACCCATCGCGAGGCTCTTGCTTAAGATAACCAAAGAAGGACTTAAACCATTCCCTATCAAGCAGATTGGCAATTGTCTTCCGTGCACTTGTCTCGACTTCATCAAACTGTAATCCTTCTTTTGGATTCACCTCGTAAGCTGGGAAGTCTTTGCCCCATACTAACCATCCGGGATAATCATGGTCCACATAGTACTCGGCCTCAGGTTTAGTAAATGCATCCAGAAACTTTGACGTCCACTTTGGATCATGTGATCTTGTTGGAACACTAATCTTATTTGGTAAAGAGAGCCTGTCAATCAGGAAATTCCGATAGTTGTGGTCGCACGTAGCTCTCAGCTCAATCAAGCAGAAGTACTATGATTGCAAGGTATTAGCATCTAGGATCCATTTAAATAGGGTTGAGGTAACCTACTGCAACCAATGCTCCGGAATATAACCCTCTGAGCCCAGGGTGCGCATCAACGGTGCCCTTCGTCGTCAGTTCTAGCATTGAGGTCGGTGCAACAGTCTGGAATCTTAGGCCAAGATTCACAACAATTGTCGCGGCCCTGCTAGCGGTCTTCCAGTGCGCCTTCTTTGCAAGTTCCACTAGCTCGAGTGCTAAGTCGTGTTTCTTGGCCTCGATTCTCTTACGTTTTCGGGCAATTTGATCCCTCTTCTTGGCTATCACGGCCAACAAATCTTCGGCTGGTGCAATCCTCCTTACAGTCTCATCATTTAAAATGACCATCCTCTCTAAAGGCCTACCGTAGTCCATAACTTGGTACGTTGCGCTTGTCGCAAGTTTCTGGACAGAGGGCTTATCCGCGGTGCTTGCGGCAATGAAAGCCTTAATTAGAGCAGGAGTATAGCGCCAATCCCGCCCTGCGGTTTTGGCCAAACTGCCGAACAGCAGGCTGTACATTGCGCCTTTCATCCTCCGGAAGTCGTTGCTCTTAATGGAATCCTCGAATGCTGTTAGGAGAGGTGGGATGACCAACGGCCTGGCACCGATTATAACTTTGGTCGCCGATTCTCCCGCACTTTGTGCATGCCTTCGGATCTCCGTATAAAGGGATACACATGACTCCGCAAGATCGAGTAGTAACGTTTTGTCCATCACCGATTGAGGCCTTGGACCGGCATTATGCCGGAGCCGCTGAAGATGATACACGTTTGCCCTTCGGAGAAGAAGAGGCCTGGGATAGTTTTTCCGCATCCCGCTAACCTTGAAAGGATGGATATCCGCAGCAAACAAGCGAGTGACTCTATCCAAGACACACGCCGACCTCTCAATCCCGACATCCATAAACCAGGACCGGTATGCCTATTGCGGTCAGTAAAAGCGAAGCGTAAACGGGTATGGGACAAATACCGTATACAAAGCGTTAAAGCAAGGCACGTCATCTTCTTGGCTGGAAGTTAGGAAGGTGTGTACTGAATGCAATATTCCGCCAACTTTATCCCTCAAATCGTGGACAATAACATACAGTGGGTCCTCAGGATCATCGAAGAAGTATCCAGCGGGGTACCGATATGTTGGCTTGACATCGTCATCCTGTGCCTCACCCATGGGTTCATCAGAGCCATCAGCCCCGGAGACCTCAATGCCGGGAGTGTCCTCGATTTCTCCACCAACATCTTTCATCTCCAGATCGTCATCTCTCTTCTCCTTCTCTACTAGAGTCCCGCCGGGTATGCGTTGCGGATCGAACAAAACGGAGATTCCAGAAATTATTAATCTCAGAAGAACTAGGTTCCGGGAAACCTCATCAGACCACTCCTTCCCAGTTCCGTCACTCTTTATGTCTGAGCTCCCGCTTGTAAGAGAGGCTAGGGCTTCCAGAGCATTCTCTGCCTGCGACCTGAATAGCTCCACAGCAAACCCGACCTCCTCGCGTGAAGGTATATGCCATCTTATAGTAATCTCCTTCGGATCATAGACCTTACCCCATGCATCGATATCGCAACCTATCTTAAAATTAGTAAAAAACAGACGGAATTGAAGAGAGGGCCATGATTTCATACGTTTTCCAGGCTCCACGAGACCATAATCCACTGTGTATACCACAGTAAGATTTAGTAGTAAGTGATGAATAAAATTCGAGATATGCACAGTCGGCATCCCCTTGCACCTCTTTTGCATGAAACCTGCAATCTCCAAAAGCTGCTCTTTGTGATTCAATACCGCGTCGCCGATGTGGACGACGCACATGCTGAGGATACTCACGTTCCATACAAGACCTCGATCTCTCGGGAGCACGTCAGAGCCTGTGTTTCTCGTTGACGCCGCCCCATTTTCTTCAATCTCCGTACGAATATTCCGGATTAGCACAGGAATCAACTGTTTCAATGCTTTCTCCGGGTTAACCTTGCAAAGTGAGTTACAAATGAACGCCATAGCATCTCGAGCCTGATGAATGACATGACTGCTAACAAAGTCTGTAATTTTCTGAAGAGCAATATCATACAACTCCGGCGACAAGGCAGCTAATAAAGGTGTGAATGCCGCGGGTAGGGTATTAGCGATATGATCCTCGGGGGAGCCACTGCGGACCCGAGAAGCATCGGGTAAATTTTCCAACAGGGTAAATACACGCCCGAGGAACGATATTAAAAACTCGCAAAGCCCAGCGGTCGAAGATCTCAATATAGCAGCCTCATTTTCATCACTAAGTTCTGTGTTATAGTCGATCATGACTTCGGCACCTTCCCTCTCCAGCCTCTCCACTTCAGACCCAACCCATTCCAAGGCTAAATGGCTGCCACTCCCACCCCCCTCCTCGTCCTCTGTAAGGTCACGAAAGGGGATGTTATAGGCCACAGCCTGAACAAATGATAGCGTATGCAATGTCTTGTCCAGGTCATTTGCATCAATGCCGGGCAAAGCAAGTCCCAATAACGTGGTAACATGATTTCTAAACCCCCTAGTACGAACCATTATTCTAGAGAGAACTTGTAGTGAGCGTAGGGAGGACGTGGTGCGATGTACCTCCACTAGTCCTTGCATTGATGGGTATATACGCTGCAGGGCTCCAGGGAGTATAAGATCCGGCTCGAGATAAGCCAGGCTTTGCAGAGAGGACAGTGAGAAGCTCATTGCGGTAGAACTCTTCGCATATATCCCCATGAATATTACCTCTTTCAGACACATAACAAAGCGTCGCTTAAGCTCAGGTGTAAGCCTCCTATCCTCAGGCACCTCCATCTCTCCGCTCCTCTCCCGATTCCATCTCATCACAAAGAAGTCGGCCAAATAATATACAAGTTGAGACAGGGTCTTTGTCCAATTTCCGGTATTTGAAGGATGGAAAAAGGTTTCCACGGCTTGAATTAACCCCTCAAGGTTGGAAAGGATCGAATCCGGCTCGTGAAGGGAATGGGGCGATAGTGACATAACAATCCATCTTGCTATATGGTGTGCCACTGGATTTTTTCTCGGGTCCCGATCCAAAGTCATAGCCAACCCAATATTTGTATCCACGACACTGCTATAAGGAGAGGTTGCCTGACCGACTGGAATCTCCAGAAGCCGAAGTATGGCTGTAAACACCAATGCTGACTGTTCTTTACTGTAAATACCATACTCTCCAAAAGGAATGCTTTTTGCTGGCAGCAGATCCCGAGCCAGGCGGGACAGCAAATCCAAGAAATTTACATCAAACACGCGAGAACGATTTACGAGTGACCACAGGTGGAAAAGTGCTGTAAGCAAAGTTAGCAATCTTGCTCAGTGGGTTGCGGCCGAATCAAAAAAAAAAAAAGGTGCTTACTCGGGAGATAATACGAGGGCTGTAGCTTCGGTTTATCCAGAGGCGGAGGAACCGTGGGAAGAAGCAGATTTAACAACCCAACAACCACAAAGGCACCCTCGGCAAAAGAGGTGCTAAACTATAATTTCATGAGTATATTGTCAACCTAATTGGTCGGAACGGCAGCAATCTCACATAAGGCAGAAACTCTTCAAACATTTCTGTAATCTCCTCCGGGTTGAAGAAGGGTTGCGCAAACGAGCACATCTTGGTCAATGTCCGGACATTCTTTTTTACTGTGGTGGAATGGATAAACCCTGACTCTTGAGGAAGCACAAACACCTTGAGTTCCTTGAAGAGGGGTCTCCAAGCCAATGTAAGGTCTCTCCCGGGACGTAGGTAGTGTTTTCGCCTTTATAAATTATTTTAGCATTCATTGTGACTATAAGACCATACAGCTCCATAGAGATGACACTAGGCGGTGTTTCTGCACCCGCTGGAGTAACACAAGAGTAGCCCAAAACAAAAGGAATGTAGGAAATATACTTTGTCAGGACCATAAACATGCTCGCGAATCTCTCAGCAACGGCGGGGTCCAGGCCTGGAGCCATAGCAAGCTCATAGTATAGCTTGACAAGCTTAACCCTCGTCTTCCGGGGCGGATCAAACTTTAGGCTAAGCCAACTTCTGAGTTCCCTCGACCAGTGCACCGCCCCGGGAGCGAAATCCCCGGCTTCAATAGAGATGTAGAGATGCTTAATGATTTCATCAAGATTCTTTTGCCGCTCGGACTCATCCTCCGTATCGTACGGCAGATGACGATAGTAAGGATAGGTACGGGGCCTGTATCTGGCCGCTACATCGCCGTCGTCATCATCTCGCCACTCTGCTCCAGGGCTCGTGGCGCCCGAAGCAGCTTGATCGTTCCCATTTGCGCCGAGATGGGCGGCCAGGAAATCCGACATTTTCGTCATGACTAAGAGCCGGAGGGGGTATAGATGCTCGGAAGGAAGTAGAACTCAATACAGCAGTGATCGGACGAGATGATAGTTACGGCGTTTGATGGATCTTTCGTTAATCTGGTCCTGTGAGGTTGAAGTTTGATTAGCTCTGTCAAGCCGGCGAGACGAGAGACGAGGATGAAGAGAGAACAAGGTGTGTACGCTATCAAAAAAGCCGGGGCTAGGAGGGGGGCAAGGAGAGGATTTGGGTTGTATAGAGAACACTGCCAGAAGAAGAATGGATGGGAGATGAAAAGATGCGAGAAACGGGGGGGGGAATGAGAGGAAAACTTAGAGGGAGCACAGAGGGCAGGGAAGGTGTTGGTTGCTGGGGGTGCGGTACGTAGGTTTAAGCACGCACAATACAAAATTACCTAGACGTTAGCTTTTCCAACCCCGGAGGGGCAAAAATCTGCGGGCGCAGGCTACAGTTGGACAAATCAATATAACAAGCAAGAAGAGGTTACTTCCCCTTCCTCTTCCTTTATTTTATTTTATTTCTTCCTTTTCACCCAAATATCCTGTATTTGTAACCCTAGGACGGAGAGACGAGAGCCCAGATGAAGAGTTTCTGTGGAATCAAATTGAAATGGGATGAATTTTACTCCTGCCCTTCCTTCCTCCTCCTCCTCCTCCTCCTCCTGCTCCTCCACCACACCGCTCAGTGAGCGATCTCTCTCTCTCTGATCATGAGGGGAACTCACTACCACCCGCAAATACGCCAGGCACTCGCCAAGTCCAAATTATGTCAGGGGGGGGGGGATCCTTCCAGCTGGAGAATCGAACTTTCATGTCGCACACGACGAGAGTGAACCAGAACCCGTAACCGCTTATGTTCCAGTCCAGCGACCACGATGGGGCAATCAAGGGTCTCTCTTCAAATCGCTCGCATCACAGCAGATAGTGGGTTCAGGTCATTCGCACCCATGACAATATTTGGTTAAAAGCTACTGCAGATACCGGTAAAGTACTCTCCATGCAAAGGTGGGCTGCATTACTATATGCGCGGTTGTATACGGTAGTTGGGGCGTGAGCCCTCGCATCCTCACACCATACTGCAGTAAAAATGATTGAATCTCACAGCACGATCAAGGCAACGGTGTTCTAGCGCCTTGCCTCTCTCGCCTGTCGTGGATCCCGATCCACTGCCTGCTCAAGGTGGACAGACCATGCATTGACCAACATATTGCCAGCCCTAGATTCCAATACAGCACGGTAATCGGTCCCATGAGCCGCACCACAACGGTGGCGGCGGATTCAACCCGACACGCGCCCTCCCAAACGAGGGAAAAAACAAAGAAGGGACGGCGTCCCTGCAAACTTCCCGGAAACGTCCAGTCCAAGCGGAAGGCCAAAATCAAACCCTAGCCAGCAACGGCGCTTGAGGGAGCACAGCACAGCAAAGGCAGAGAGACATGAAACCTGCGATGCTTACACCGGTGCAGTACCGTAGCCTGCCAGTGCAGTGCCGGTATGAGCGCTCCAACAAATCCTCAGCTACTTACTGTGTATAATTTTGCACCACAACATGCATCCATCCGAGAGGTTTGGATTCTAATTACCGGTAGCCCAGAGAATAGATCCCACAAAGGCGTCCGGTGCAGTGCTGGTACAGCGCTCTCAGCAGGTTAGGCAGGAACACTTTCCTTGCCTATGGCGCTCGCGCTTTTTTCTGCAGGTCTTGTAAACCGAGCTGTGTCACCTGTAAAATGAGAAGATCGATGACTCTTGCGCTGCATTGCGTTGGACATTAACTTATGATATGCAGAATTCTCATGGAATACAAGCATAGAAGCACAGGCTTTAAATAGAGACCCACCCTCTGTCGAATAGGTACCGGTACCGAGCTTTCTTCAAAAGCAATGCCCTGTTTGAATAGTTGAGGCATTGTGCTACTAGTATACCGGTAGTGCTATTTTATGATACCACCGTGCTGCGGCCAAAATGCGTGTGAAGTGTGAAAAGAGTGGCACAGGTACCGGTACTGTGGGATGCTTGGATCTCGTTGTGGCACTCCTTTATTTGTACCCGGATGGAATCACCCCCTAAATCCGTCACTATGATTACATTCTCATTCCGTACCGGTACTGTGCTCGTACCGTACTCAGCTGCCGGTGCTACCGTACTCGCATCCGGTAACTCGCATCTGGTAAGTGAGCTCGCCACGATGCTGACCCAAAGGATTCCACTCGATGTCTCAGCCAGCAGGAGACAACCCCACCAATGCCCCCCCCCCCTACCGGAACGATAGATTCTCCGTGGCCAAAGGGTTACGATGTGAGTGAAACTCTGGAGCCTGATCTCCCACTGCCGGTGCCGTAATCCCGCCCCAAAAAAAAATTCCTTGGAGTTCTAGCAAAGGCTCGACATGATCACGTGCTCTTACCTAATCACGAAAAATTACCTCCAGCCAATCACCCTCTGGCGCCCCACGCAAGCCCAACTTTCTTCCGGGTTTTTCCACCCTAGCCATCACCATCGATCCAATCTGCCATCATTCAATCCCCCCTTTCCCCCCACCAATTAACCAATCAACCACGGACGGAGAAAAGAAACACACCGACGATGCCACTCTTGTCCCTCTTCTCTGACATCTACACGTCCCTGACGATCTCCCCGGCGCACGCGGAGGCCCCGCCAACCGAAGAGCAGGAGGGATCTTCCTCAGATTCAAAACCGGAGGGGAACAAATCCACTGAGCCAGAGCCTAAAGAAGAGAAACCGGAGCCCAAGGAAGAGGAGCCAGTGGAGGAAGACGCGGAGGCGGAGGAGGAAGAGCCGGTGGATGCGTTACCAGCGATAACTGAGGGTATATATCTACACATCTAATATGTGTAATCCGGACCAGACGAGGGCGGGGAGGCTGATTAATACCATTGAATTGGAAAACAGAATGCTCCGAGTCAAACGAATGCAAGCCAGCAAAGCATCATTACGACGAGTGCGTTGAACGGGTTACCGCTGCGGTGGAGAGCGAAGCGAAGGGGCCGACGGAGGATTGTGTCGAGGAATGTATGTTCTTGCTTTCTTGCCCTATCCTTTTTCTCTCGGATGGAGCGGCTAATCGGGATACTATATAGTCTTCCACTTGATGCATTGCTCCGCTCAATGTGCTGCTCCCAAGATCTGGGCGAAACTGAAGTAGGCCGGTCTGTCAAAAACCTACTTCGAAAAAATTCCTTTTTACGAACGGGAAGGAAAAGAAACCCTAACTTGCAATCGGAACTGGGATCGAATAATTGGCGGATGTGTGAATGGATGAAGACAGCATACAAAAAAAACCAACCTTGTACGTAGACGGCGGGGGACAGTAGGAGAGAGAGGTCGTGGTCTGCCTGCTACCATACCCTCGAGCGGTGCCGGTATCCCAAACACCAACCAAACCGCCCGGCCAAGTGCGTGTGTGCGATTTGTTTCATTTATTGATAGAAGCAGGAGAAATGATACCGTGTAAGACAAAACAAAGCACACTGTAAATCCAATTCATATTCAGTAGTACCAGTATTTTCACAATACTCGAGCGCAGTGCTTATAAAAACATTATCGTGCTCGGGCACCAGTACTTTTTCGCACCCCAATCCAAACCAATCTAATCTAAAACGGCACTGAGGGTTAAAATAAAAATAAAAAAGTGGAAAAAAAAGTAGGGTGAGTGCGGCTCCCAAAAAAATGGATACCATAGTCTACCGATAACTTGGTGGGAAGAATAGGGTTCAAGACAGGTGGGATGGAGGGAAAACCCTCTCTCTCCTAGTCTACCCGATGAGATATGATACATGAGGTATCGTTGCCAGTGCAACAAGCAACCTTCCGTTCGACACTGTCCAGCGGCCCAACCCATCAATCAATCGTGAGCGCCCAATACCACCAATCTGCGCAAGAAAGAAGGGAAGGGAAAAACAATCACCAATTGCAATATTACCCACCGATAGCAGGGAGGAGGAATCAAGGCACCACCCCACTCCCAACCCCTCGAAACCCCCACCAACAATGAACTAAACCCCGGGCGAATCACCAAGCCGGAAGACGAAAGATTTTTTTTTTTAAAAAAAAAGGGAAAAAGGAAAATCGTACTTTCCCCCCCCCCTTCCCAATTCCCTCGGGATCGGACTGACATGGCGTGCCTAGATGCCGCCGCCCCTCCACCCCCGCTCCCTGACAACCTCCACCCTCTTCACTACCACCGCGCTCCTCGCATTCCTGATCGTTGGCGCTCCACATGTACTCCCATGTCCGGCGGGGGTGAACCGGCTCGACCAGCGGTGCGCGAAGGTTGAACAGTCAAGTGATGCGGGGGGTGGTGGAGGGGTGAAGGGTGAGGAGAGGGGGAAGAGGAAGAGGAAGAAATGCCCGGGATTGGTGGGCGCTGTGTTGGGGCGTGGAGCGAGTGAGGAGGAGGGGGAGGGAGGGATTGGAGCGGTGGGTGGGAGGAGGGTTGTTTTGGGGGGGAGGAAGTGAAGGGAGGGAGTGGGCGGGGACCGGGTCGATGGATTACTAGTACATTGGGGGATTTTATGCATGTAAGTTTCTGGCTCGAGGATACCTGTGGCCTTTTGTTTTTACTTTTATTATGTTCTCGGAATCGGCTGGGTGGGTTTGGGTGGTAGGTAGTCCATGCCATGGTCGGTATCCTACTTTCCTATCTTCGAAATACATCCCTTGACAAAAAGCCTATCTAGCTATGGTATCATGGGTTGGCTATATGCCTGGGAGGGGAGGAGTGATCTGCGGCCTGCTCTCTTTTCCTAGATTCCCTAGGAGTAGATACATCAAGGATAACTCGCCCTAGATTTGCTAAGGGTGGAACGTGTGCTGTTATATAGAACATAGAGTCCTCGAAAGATTGAAAAAAGTTTATTTGGGCGGAGGGGGGTGCTTTTGCCATGTTCGTGAAAATTGCTGCCAGGTCTCACAGGTGGTGATCTTGCTAGAAACACGATGCCGCATTTCAGTTTAGAATTCCATTAATCTATTTACGGCAAATCAAGTCCGGGATGAAGCTATCGCAGAGTTTCTGCTCTCACTACTTTGTACATGTGAGACACAGCAGGCAGGGCTAGAGCCTAATCGCTAGGACCTAGATGTTGTCTTCAGATGGTCAGCTGCTGCCACTTCGAACATACAAGTAACAAAAAGGAGAAAGCAAAGGGGAAACGAATTGTCAGATGCTCGCCCGGTCAAGGGCAATCTCATCAATGCCTACTTAGGCTATGAAGACCGTCGTGAGATTGTAAAAAGAGTCTCATCATGTAGAAGAAGTGAGATAAAGGATTAGGGGGGGGGGGGGAACATCTGGCTAAAACTGACCAATTAAGCATGAGATCATAGTATGGAATGTTCCTAGGGCTTCCGATTTAGATGTCAGCAGGCGGATATCAAATTGGATGTTCATAGGGCAGATATGCAGGAGACCAGGTCAGACGTTCCGGTTATCGTCTATGCGGGGAACCGCTCGGACATATGCTTGTCTTTTTTCTTTGGGAATATCATCATTTGGAATGAGGGAGGCAGAAACACAATCAGTCTTACATTGGGGAGATATCCTGGGTGCTTCGATGTTATTCTGCACGCGACCAGGTTCCTGCATTTCTGAAGAAAGTTAGTGAAAGGGCTTCAACACACTCTAGATCAAATTGGTTGCAACCTGGGGTCATGTTCAGATATTGCATGAATGGTTATTAATGATGTTTCGTCATCGGGAAAAACCCGGATAGGACTCGTCATCTAAATTGGATATCATCATTGGGGATGTGGGAGGGCAGAGCGGAGGCGAAGAGTGGAAAAAGTAAATACCTTGCTCAGGCTGGCCACCTCTGTATGAAACACTACTAGGGAAGACCAGAGTTAAACCGTTAGCACCAACTCGGACGGATGCTAGTAGTAATAGTCGGAGCAACAACACAGGACCGAGCCCGGATCAGTTGGACGGGGTTTCTGAAGCCCCGCCACGAAGTGCTTATCGAATCATTGAAATTCAGAGACCAGTGCTCTTGTGCAAATCATCATATGCATCGGCTCCGTTCGAGGATAATGTGGCGAGGGGGAAAAAAAATGCAATACCTTTGTTCAGTTGGCAGTACTCTAATTGGTTATGTCAGCACATATTGATCAATCCAATAATAACGGCTATCGGCGGTGAGGAGAGGTGGGTGAGCTCAGAAACAGCCATTTTGTGTCTGCATCGTACGAAGTACTTGGACGGTAATTTCCAGCGTATGTTATACAAAAAATTGATCATCTTTGCTCGGGACGGGGAAGGATGATGGGGGTATAGTTACCATCGTGATTACTGCCTATCGGTCTATGATACAATATGTGTTGTTTATGCTGGAGTGTTCGAGAGGACCGGTGAAAATTTTCAACAACGAAGCCTGAGAACCGAGTTAGTAGTGAACAAAGGCCCAATCGCGTATGTTTAAAAGTATAAGAGCTAATTCTAGATCAGCCTGACGTGCAAAGTGAGTTTCATTCCCCCTCTGTGAGGTAGTCAAAGACTCTAGTTTCGCGGTTGTACAAATCATCATATTAAGAAGAAGAAGAGAGCGAAGAAAAGATAAGTAAGACTAAACCAACCTGCCAATCATCACACATGTTGAGGACGCGTTTATGTTGCGCGGTTTTCGTGTTGATGCGAGGTTGGTTGTCGATTGAAGAAGTTTGATCAAGTTAAGAGAGGAGAAAGAGAAAAACTCTCACCAATTCTATAGCCACAGGTACAATGGGTGGTCACGTTTTTGGAACGGCTCTGTGCGGCTGTGGGTCGGAAGCCTTCAGGGTTAAGGGTTTCACCCCAACGAATGGGGCCGTCGGCTAAATTCGAACCATCACTCCACACTGCACGCGTCATGCGGCTCTGTCTCGCATGGACCATAAACCTCAAGGGCCGGAATAACTCGATAACCTCGGCAGCCACACGCATTGATCCGGACTGGGCGGGTAAAGTCGGAAGTGTGATAATATGGTTGATTTAACGCACTTACCTCTGAAGCTTTGACGATGGCTAAAGGGGATACCGTACCGGTATATTCGGGGTTCCGGCTCTCGAACCAACTCTGCTCGTGCGGTGGGGAAAGGCAGCTTCAGTGTCTGTGTCTATGGGTTAGGAGGGGTGGCTGTTGGAGCTTTAGTCGCTTGTCGGACCCAAGTTTTGCTGGAAGCTTCGTCTTTGGCACTTTGTGGTTGCGTCGGCTGCGGTCATGGCCAACTCCCCACACCCCATTTTCTCCGTCTGGGACCAAAGGCCCATTCCTACTGGTGTCAGGACGTCACGAGCTTCTTTCCACTCTTCTTCTGGCAAACCATTTTCCCTTCCTACAGAAAAAGAAAGGAAAAATGGGATCTGGATTATTACGGTAGAGAAATGCATTGAAATTCAGCCAATAGCGGATGCCCCTTAATCTGTTCGGTTACGCACGGGCAGGAGTTCTCACGGTTCCACGGCAGCTTTGGCGGTGGGTGAGAGAAACATCGCGGGGGAGCAACGCCAGCGGAGAGATGGATGGGAAACCAAAGGGTATTCATTGCTTAGCTCGGTAGTCGCAGCAATTCGGGACGAAGGATTGGTTGATGCTCATCCTCTTCGTTCACTACAAATGCTCCCCCTTGTTACTTCCCCCCCATACTTCCGAGCTTAAATACCGGTGCTTTTACTCTGCCCTGCTCCTTCTCCTTCCCTGGCTCCTTCATCCTAGTCTTATTTCCTGCCTTCGTGAAGACTCCTTCCTCTCACATACAAACCTTGGCCATCTGCAAACATGGCTTCTAACGGAAATGGAGGTGGTCACCATGGCGACTCTGAGGTGAAGACCGACATTATCACTCTCACTCGCTTCCTTACGGAGGAGCAGCATAGACTTGGTCCACATGCCACTGGTGATTTTACGTTTGTTGCCCCAGCTTCTCTCACTGAGAGACAATAGTTAATCATCATTGAAATAGATTGCTATGTCACGCCCTCCAGTTCTCGTTCAAGAGCATTGCGTATGGCACTCCTGAGAATTTCCACTGACCACAAACTAATATCGTGGCTCCATCTTACAGTTACTACATCCGACGAGCCACCTTGATCAATGTAAGACCTCCATTCTGCCCCTTGCCAAGCTTGAAAACTCACAATCCCAGCTTATCGGCCTTGCCGGCTCCTCCAACATGACCGGGGATGACCAAAAGAAGCTTGATGTAATCGGTAACGAGATCTTCGTCAACACCATGCGTGGTTGCGGAAAAGTCAAGGTATTAGTTTCGGAAGAGGAAGAGGAAGCCATCATTTTCCCCGGCCATGGTAAATACGCCGTGGTCTGCGACCCCATTGATGGTTCGTCCAACCTTGACGCTGGTGTATCCGTTGGTACTATTTTCGGTATCTTCAAACTCGATGACGGTGCAGAAGGCAAGGCGGAGGACATGCTCAAGCCTGGGACCGAACTGGTAGCTTCTGGATTCACCATGTACGGTGCTAGCGCCAATTTGGTTCTTACTATGAAGGGTGGTTCAGTCAATGGGTTTACATTAGACACTGCTCTTGGTGAATTCATCCTGACGCATCCTGATGTTGGTCTTCTCATAGCCCTTCCTTTTCGTCTTCTACTGCGTGCTGATTGTGAGTAGATGAGAATTCCGAAATCAAAGGGGATTTATTCGGTCAATGAAGGAAACTCCCTTTACTGGACTGAGCCTTGCAAGGCCTACTTTGAGAGCATCAAGTACCCTCAGGAGCCCGGCTCAAAGCCGTACTCTGCTCGCTATATCGGATCCATGGTCGCAGATGCCTATAGGACCCTGTGTTACGGAGGCCTCTTTGCCTACCCCGCAGACAAGAAGAGCCCTAAGGGCAAGCTTAGGATCTTGTACGAGTGCGCGCCCATGGCTATGGTTATGGAGAATGGTGCGTAGCTTGATTCGGCTTTCCTCTCAAGTGTACCAAGCGCTAACCATGGCCTCGCAGCCGGAGGATTGGCCGTCACCAGTGATCAGAGAAGAATGCTGGAGGTGGTGCCCGAACACATCCATGACCGTTCTGGAATCTTCATGGGGTCATATGACGAGGTCACCAAGGTCACGGATGTTTTCAAGAAGCACGGTGTAGTTGCAAAATAGGATGTTTTCTTTCGCTGGTCGGTAGTTTAATTGGAAGTGGGCGTTAAGGGTAGCCCATATGTTACGAGTATTTTAGACTTGACGTCTAGGATACCAGTGCATGCACATTAATTCATCCATTCATTCCAAATACCTTTCATCCCCACAATTCTAGGAAGCCACTGCTTGTACTTTGCTTGCGCCAAAAATGAGTTACCTTTTCTTTTCTCTTTCCATTAGGTTGCAGTTTGCCTGTTGTGCAGATTTTATCCCGGCAGGATGCCTACGTTCCCGGTACCATCATGACTTGTCAGCCCAGCTTCGCGTCACACAAGCCTTCTTATATCCTGGGTCAATGATCGGATGATGCCGGCGGATTCCCGCGAGATGCGTTTTTATCATGGGCTCAGTTTCTGCAACGTCCCTTACAATACTTCTACTGTGCGGTGCCGTTTTTCCTTTTTGCTAGGAGGTATGGGGTAGAACCGGGTATGAAAAATGCCTCGCGCCTCCTTGGTAGGTAATACCTCGTTTCTCCGAGGGTACGTCAGCCACAGCTGTTCGGGGGTGGTTATACTGGATATCTTTTTCGTACCGAATCATATCGTAACTCCGGGCGGGAGTATCTCGGATGTGCTTGGGGGCCTTGTTGGATGCATCATGGGTATCAATTGAGGGAGCGGTCGCACGGAATGGGTAGCGTGGTACAGTTTTTTTATTTTTATTTATTTATTTTTTCCTCCCGGGGCTTGCTAAGGCATGGGCAGGACTTAATAAGGGAGGGAGAGAAGGAGGTATTTATCAAGCCGCAGCCCTGTAACGAGCCTCGGCAGCCTTCCAGTTAACCACGTCCCAGACTGCGCTAAAGTACTCTGCTTTGCGGTTTTGGTATTGAAGGCTTTGAAAATGCGCCCTATTAGCACTTCCATTCAACAATAAAGGTTCTTTTTTTTCAGTTTTTAACTTGTGGGAAGTCTTACTAGTAGGCATGCTCCCAAGCATCAATCCCTAATAAGGGAACGTACTTGCCCACCACGGGGTCTTGGTTCTACACAATTCATTAATACTCTCCTTGAACCCTTCCGCCGGCAGGGAGACGCAGGAGGGGGAGGGGGAAGAAGAAAAAAGATGTACCCACAGGCATAGCGATAACCTGCAGAGCTCCAGTATCCTTATCCTTAACCAACCAGCTCCATCCGCTGCCCTGGATTCCAGCAAGGCTAACGTTCATGTTCTTCTTGAGATTTTCGACACTACCGTACGTGACGGTGATTGCGCCGGCGAGTTTTCCGCTCGGGGGCTCTCCTCCGCCGGAACTCTTTGGCGCTAGGTTTTCCCAGAAGAGGGTGTGGTTTATGTGGCCACTGCTCACAGATCAGCCATCGCCTCAGGGGAATAGAGAAATATGCGAGGGAGGGGGGAGGGAGGAGAAGATATTGAGCGGACCCTCCATGAAACTTCAGCAAAGGCTGCAAAGCAATTTGTCTCTGGACGTCGTTCGCTGATACCGCATCCGCGTACTTCTCCTCAGCGTCGTTGAGGGAGTTGACGTATGTCTGGTGATGCTTGGAGTGGTGCAGCTAATAATCCCTCCGAGTCAGCACCCACTCAGCACATATATTGACTCGCCTTTCTCCTTCCCTATCCGAAAGGGAGAGGGGGGGGTGTACGGACCTCCATGATCTTTCCGGAAATGGCCGGCTCGAGGGCTGCATAGTCGTAGGGAAGGTTCGGGAGAGTGTGCTTGTAGCGGACTGATGGTGTTAGAAGACTGCGACGGGCAATTGTGGGACGGGCGATGCGGAAGAGAGACATTTTGTGCGGTTGGGGGGTATCCGGGGGGGAATTGGTTCGGTGAGAGCGAAGGTGGGGGGGGGGATTTAGAGGGACAGGGATGGGGAAATACGTCATTTTGATGAGTAAGCGGTCATCGGGTGTCACTCGAGTGAATTTGGGTTCCCCGTGGGAATGAGTGGGAGATTGCTGGATATAATATTAGTGATGTTCCTCTCGGGGATTTAATTGGCTCGCGGGCTCTCCTTTTGTGTAAGCCACCGTTCTCAATTATGGCCAGAAGTGTCTTTGGCCCGACCTATGACTCCTGGTTTAGTGATCATGCCGACGTTTATGCAGAGAGTCCTCAATTTCTACAACCGGGTCTAATAGTACGAAAGGGTGGGTTGACGAACTAAAAAGGATCAGGGGGGGGGATGGAGAGAGGTCCAGGGAGGGCAGTCCTTCCGCGTCTCCTGCACTACAATTATATCATAACATTGTGATGCCTTTTTTTTCATATCCTTTGTAGGGTGTACTCGAGTACTAGTACTGTGTCCTAAGAATGGTCAGGGAGTATTTTGCATCAGGGACCTCAGTATTTGGGATACCGACCGTAATCCCTCAATGGCACAGAGGGAGTCACCTTCGGAAACAAAAGGGGGGGTACCGTAGAAGGAAAGACCCGAACCCAATTGGAACAGCCCCCAAGTTGCAAGAGCAATGAGATCTAGCTTACCCTACTGGAGCACGCCTACAATACAAGCAACAGGTAAACCTCTGCCCAGGGTGGAGCTCCAGAAGGAAAACATTAGCTCTTATGATAAGATAGGTCTCCTGGCCACCTCCTTTGGATAGTGCCATACTGTATGTAACCGCCGCAAAATCTTCCATCACTAATACCAGTAGAACCGATTTCATTTCCACAAAAAAAGGGCAAGAAGGCTAAAAACTCCGTGGGGGGGGCTGGTCAAACCTGATGTAAAGTAAAGATGAGAACAAAAATGTTTGGATAATATGATAGCTTATTAATTAATTTTATTTAAATCAAGAAGAAAAAAACTTCTATATTATTCTATATATTCGACTTGAAAATAATTATAAAAAATCCTCAATCAGAACTGAAGTTGAATTCTCTCCCTTCAAAATCCATTAACCAGATTTAGAACCCTTTGCCCTTACCAAATATAGGCATTACATGGGTGCACCTAGAGTGGTACAGGCTATAGACGCTTTGCACCATAATAACCCAATCACAGCCCCCTTCGCCTCACTTACCCTTAACCCCTGTACAGTAGGTGTCCAACTTCAACTCGGCCGCGGGAGTATGATAGTCTATCCGCTAGAGGGCAGACTGACTAGACTACCTTAGGTCCATAATAAATCTAAGAGCCAGTCACCCCTCCAAGACTGCGATAGCACAAGGACTAAGCCTCCCAACAATCGCTTCCGTCCTCCGCATAAATTGAAGTCCGAAACGATGATCTAGCGTGAATCCATTGTTTTATCATTCTACTAGTATCTCGTATTGCGACCAAAGTATTCGTATTTGTGCGCTCTTCGCTTTCGGTAGTGGTGGGGAAGTCGAGTAGAATTATTTTTTTTGGTGTTCGGGCTTAAGGTAGACTACAGGCGTGCAGTACTGTGCTGTACTGTGCTGTAACGGTACTAGCAAGTAAGTCACTCGAGTACTGTGATCGCAACTGCTGGAAGGTGGGGAATGGGAGGGGACTGCAATACGAAGGTTGTGCAGACCCTCCTGGAAGTACTGTATAGTACAGTACTAAAGTAAGTTCCTACTGCAATGGTGATACGATAATTGCCAGTGGGGCATTCGAAGGTGAGTTGATAGGCAAATTGGCAGAAGAAGGAAAGTAGTCAATAGCGGGGTATCATACTATCATACGAGCAGGATGAAGTATAAATCTGAGTCTGAGTGTCCTCAAACATCATAATCATCAACATCGCCTTTCTTTCTTTCTTTCTTTCTTCACTTCACTTCACTCTACTGCTAGCCAGCACCTTCCCACACGATCATTACTTTACCTTCTTCCCATTTCCTTGAAAAAAGAAATGAAAAAAAACCACTCCTTATATCTAAATTCACAAGAACAAAAACCATCTCGCCCCCAGCAACAATGAAGTTCCTAAAAAGCATCTCCCTCCTCCTCGTCGCCGCCTCCACTGGCAGCCGCCGCGCTCCCAACCGCATCAGACACCATATCAACACCCACCCTCACCGCTCGCAATAACTCCGCCAGCAGCTCCGAGAAAAGCTACTGCACGTAGCCCTCCCGCCGGAGCATATGCAGCAAGGCCAAAGACCACGCCAGCGTCGCCGCCAGCAAAACTTTCCCCTAGACACACTACACAACGGGAAGGGCGATGCCTTCTGCCACTGCTACTGGAACGCCCGCATGACCGTCGACATTATGGAGGGCGGCAACGGGCCCGCCGCCGAGAGGGAAATAGACCCGGCGAATAACGCTCCTGGAAGAACAATTTCGGGGCGCAGGCGAAGAATGGCGGTGGGGGTGATGAGGATATTTATATACCCCAGGGGCTCCAAATAAGCGTAAGAACGCAGCCGGTTCAGGGGATTCGAAAGGCTCTTAGGTGACTTTGCGGCCTACTATACTACACTATACTCGTATAGTACTGCACAAACGTCCCGAGTGATCTTGCCTGAAGGCTATTCAGGACGAACCCAGAATGAAAAGACAAGCTCTATGACATGATCGATGGATAGATAGAACGCCATCCACCCACCACAAATATGAAAAAAAACCGGGATTTTGTATCATGGGGGATCACTCGTACCACCCCCGCTTGAGCTGTTGGAGGTCACACGGAAAAGGCCGCAGTAGAAGTATAGAGTGATGGGACTGATCAAGAATGAGAGAAAGAGAAAGACGGTTGTTCTTCTTGTTCTACAGATACAGATACATCTCAGATCGCCATACTTATAGCAATTTGTGGCATGAATATACATCGATGTGACTTCAGTCATTTCCTAGGTCCACAAGTTCCAAGTGGCCCAACAGCCGGCTCAACATATCCGCACTACTCATCATATTGCGGTAACATTTCCAACATGAGCTAACTGGTATGATAATTACCAGTTTGTCCCGGGGACCCCCCCAGCACCTCCACCGTATCCTTCGCGGCCGCAACCCCCCCTCCCCCCGGCAGAAAAAAAACACCACTCTCTCCGAAAAAAAACTTGCACAATCAAATACCATAAACGAAAAAAATCTCTCCCAGAGTAAATTCATGATACTATAGTTTTTATCGAGGGTTGTGTGTGTATACTCATTCTTTATAAATAAATGACAAAAGCAACAGTGGGAGGGGAGGCCAATTTGTTGGCGGAGCGCAGAAAATATGGACAAAGTCATATTGTGAAATGTGTCACTGCCAATGTCTCCATATTTTGCGACTTGACTTATCTATCTGAGACTATCTCCCTTACTCCACAACCTGTAGGGCTCACGCCGTCTTCCTCCTTTGCACATGAGTCCCCAGAGCACTGCCTATCGAACTATCGGACCAACATTTTGCTTACAGTTGGATCGATTTAAGTTTCAGCAAGTGTGGTGTTTTCAAAAACATAGTCATATTTTCTGAAGACATGCCAGTCGAACAGGGCCTTCAAGTTAGCTTATTGCGTACTGTACCCGAGTACCGTACATAGCGTCACACGGACCATCCCCCGCACTCATAATTCGCGAGCTCCCGTAGACCCACACCAAATTATAATAACAATATCGCGGGGTAACGTTGGCTAGGCCAATGTCCTCCTTCTAAATTCTAAACAGCGTAAAACATTCATACCCGCACCATCCACTGCCGCCAGCTACGAAAGAGAAACCAATACAGTAAAACAGAAAGAAGAGAAAAAAACTAACAAAATCGCAAAAACACACTGATACCCCACCCACTTCATATATTACATTCCCCTCATCTACCCTCCCCATTACCAAAGGAAAACAAATCAAAATCAAAACGCCCAGCCAATGCAACCACAACTCACATTCAAATCTCCCGAACCTTAGCATAACTCGGTGGCTTCAACCTCCTTCTGACCGCCTTCAAAATCCAAGGCGGCACAAGGCTAATCGCGCTGATGACTGCGACGCGCCACAGAAAGGCCCACGAGATGACGTACTTGAGGTCAAAGTACTCACCCAGTAAAGGGATCGAAGCAAAAAAGAAGAGAGCTGTCCCCAGTTCTGCAAATATCATCCACATGTGCCTGTTCCCGGTGTTAGCTGGAGGGGAAAGGGGAAGGGGAAGGGGGAAGAGAGGGTTGGTAATTACCAAGTTGTGATTTCTAATGCTACCATTATAAGCTCGTTTAACACCAGTACCGTGAAACTCACGGATACCATGCGCTTGAACTGGTCGAGTCCAACGAGGAGCTGGGAGAGGCCCTGGATTATTCCTCCTATGGTTCTTTATCAACACTCCGCCAGTCGGGCATAATCACGGGGAAAAGGAAAACCTTGATAAGCGCTAACAACCACCCAAACAAAAAATGTCCGGTAACTCAACGACCGCCCCTCCGTAAGCTCCTTATAGAGCTCCGGATAAAGATTCGCCAAACGTTCATCCACATCCCTGTCCAGCACCAGCGAGAACACCGGCGCCATAGTATAAAGACTAGCATACCCAACAAGCAGCCACCCCTGATACAGCGCGATTGGCTCAAACCTCGAAGCAATGCTAAACATTGTCTGACAAACGCTAATCACGAGACCCCTGTGCATAACGAATTGGGCGAGCTTTGCACTTCGTTTGTACGAGTTCCTCCCATGCCATACCAGCAATTTCGTTAGATGGCAGAATTGCTCGATACTAAAGTCCGCCGCAAGACTGGCCTGACGGCCCTCCTTACCCACGATGCCGACGCCTACGTCCGCCGCCTGGATCATGGAGACGTCGTTCCCGCCGTCGCCGATGCAGCATATGCGCTTCTTGGTAAAGGCACGGATGAGCCGGGCCATGTCGGCCTTTTGAGTAGGGGTGCAGCGGCAGGCGATCACTGCCGGGAGCTGTACGGCAAGAGATATGAACTCGGATTTGTAGGTGTCGAGGAAGAGAGCGAGAGATTCGCCGTCAATGAGGAGACAAGAGTCTGTCTTGTTGCGGAGGAATTCCAGGACATCGTAGGCCTGGTCTTTTCGTTTTACTGCATGGTTATATCCCAATTAGCATAGCCAGGAGGTGAGAGGGTAAAGGGCCCAGCATACACTTGGCAACGGTGTGCACATATTGTCCCCGCGACACCAACTTTGCGCTAACAGCAACACATCTCGCTGTCTCGACTTTATCACCAGTCAACATCCAAATCTTGATTCCCGCATTCCTGAGGAGCTCCAAACTAGGCTTAACATCCTTCTGCAACTTATCCTCAACACCCGTCACTCCCAAAAGCTCCAGGTCATGCTCAAGATACTCTTCCACGACCTTGCCCATCCCCTTGTCCCTATTAGCAAGCAACAACGATGCGGCTTTATGCTTTGCAGAGAATTCCTGGTAGCGCTGGACGGACAACTTCTTCCTTCCAACAACCAACGTCCTCAGTCCCTCCCGAGCCATATTACCGCACTCCTCATCCAGCCAATCGTTAGCTTGGACAATCGAAGACATGACGGTATCCGCTCCCTTCTGATAGAACCAGATGTCCCCAGTATTAGGATTTGCCCCCTCTACGCCGCCACCGCCGAGGAGATCGGATTCCTCGCCCTTTTCGCCGGGCACAAATTGGACCACAATTCCCATTCTCTTCCCCTCACTCGTGAACGGGAAGACCTCTAATATCTTGACGCGGACTACAACCTCACCAGTACCGGCTCTTTGTAACCTCATCCCTTTGCGATCCCTGTGCGACAACCGCAGTCCAACGCTCTCCGTCCACCGCACAATAGCAATCTCATCCGGACTTGATGCCTGGTACGTAGTTGTAGCCTCCGAGGCACCCTCCTCGGCAGCAGTAGTAGGCGTAACATTGTGACATAACGCAAGTGCAAGGACCACGTCCCTAACCCTAGACCCAATCTCCCTTCTAGTCCTAGTCGTAGCAGCATTCGAATGGATCACGGAAGCAGCTTGGACACCCCCGGAAGCGTCATTACCACCACCGGCAGAAAACCCAAGCCTAATGTAATCCGAGACCTCATCCATAGCTTCGCCGGCATAGCTAACCGTGCCAACATGAATCTTCTTCAGCTCCATATCGTTCTGCGTCAAGGTTCCAGTCTTATCACTGAGAAGGTACTCGACTCTCCCAAGTTCCTCCGGAATTGTACTCGTCCTGACAACAGTGCCCTTAATCCCCTTGTCGCGTTCAATGAACAACGCATACGCGCTCTTGCCCATGTCCAAGTTGACCCTCAAGCTGATAGGAATAATGGTCGAGAAGAGCACCAAGAAGCGGAGAATTTTGACATACCAGCTTCCGCTAACGACTTCGCCGGGGTCCTCAGGGGATTCAACACCCGGCTTGTTTTGGTTGTTCTCAAACCCTTGAAGCGCTACCAACGCTATACTGAGTGAAAATGTCAGAACACAAAGGATTTTGGTCAGGTTGTTGATCTCCTTCTCCAACAATCCGGTCTTACTACGCGAGCGAGACGTAGACAGAGCCGCTCGCGTCTCCGGGCCAGTGTAAACGATAGCAGCTAGAGTAGTAGAATTGCTGGCCAAGACCGTGTTCGCCCATGCAGTGTTATCAACCGACAATCCCACCGATGAGGACGCCGTCGCCGGAAGCGCAGACGGCGAGGACGAAGAGGCGCCAGGGACTAAAGCTGTGGATGTGCCCGGGGTGGACGGAGTAGTGGGGCCCCGAGTCGGAGGGCTATAAGAAATTGATCCAACAAAGTTATTTACCTCCTTCGAAGGGGCAGAAGCGGTAATTGTCAAGTGGGCCAAGCTGGAGGAACGCAAAACTTGTGTTAGTGCCGGCGCAAGTCTCAGTTTCCAGTCCGTCTCTCCATCCAGCTGGTCGGTACGAATGAAAGTCTCCCCAGAGGCACCATCGCCTCCGCCTTCCTCGACTTGATTGGCTTCGTTCGAGATCGTTTTCAAAATAACTACGTCCGCCGGAACCCTATCGTCTTTCTTGAGAACTAGAATATCCCCGACCTTGAGATCCTTACTTTTCTTGGGCACAGTCCTAATACCATCGTCACCCCCTCCCCCAAGATCCTGGCCCTCAGCCCCCGCAGCACTCTTCTTGCCCAACCGAACCCCCTTCTTCCTCCCCGGCACCCCACCATCCGTGAACGAGAGAACCTCGTATAGCTCGCTATTAGCCTCCGTATCTCTTCTCCGCCGAGCGATATCATCATGTGCTTCCTTGCCAAGAGTGATCGCCAACACAAACACCAAGGGAACAATGTAAGAGCTCAGATACCCGATCCTGAGCGCCGGAATGCACTGACTCAAGGCAACAACTAAAAAGTAAAGGTTGAAGAAAAAGCTGAATTCATGCCACAAAGTGAGCGGTAAAAAGGTGAAGGCGGTAAATTTATGATTCGATATGATGTTGGGTGGGTATTTCGCCCCAGCTCCACTGGGCCTCAACCCCACGACCCTGGTCTCCTTCGAGGGGGTAAAGTCGATAACGGCGTCTTCGCCAGTAGCAGATCGTAGGGATATCCGGGATCCCAATCTTTGCAGTAATTGCCTCTCCCCGCCACCTGTCGCGCTCCTATCTCGGGGGTTTGAGGGCCCCCCTTCGTCGTGTGTGTCCTCTCCGCTTCTCCTCCCCAGTAACGCCTCCTCATCCTCTGGCCCCTCCGGCCCCTCCGGCCCCTTCATCCTCCTCAATGCAATCCTCCCGGGCCCAGCCGCTCCGTCAACAGATGTTCTTCCGCGCCTCGTAGGTGAAAAGGAAGACCTGTGATTCTCTCCAAGTATAGACCTATACCCTGCCGAATAGCCCGCACCACCGCCACCACCCCCGTTCGTGGGATCTAGCTCTTCAAGGTCGAGGTCAAGGTCGGAGGACTCGTCGGAAGGCGAAGGAGAAGGAGCACGAATATAGCTTGACATCTATCCTCGCTTGCTTGTTTTGTAGTGGGGGGGAGAGGGAAAAAAAAGGAGGTCCCGGGTGAGGGATGAAATAGGGAAATGGGAAAAAGAAAAAGGCAGAAATATCCGAGGTGTGGGGGCGTACTGATACTACGGGCCCATGGCGATGATCGGGGGCCTAAAGGGGGGAGGTTTATTATACTGTGGGTGCTGGGTTGGGACAATAATATAGAGAAGTTCTGGAAACCGGGAACACGCGGACATCTTGAGCCTCAGACGAGAGAGCTGTGCGTCAGTGCTGCCAAGACCGTCTTGGCCGACGAGCACAGCAAATCACTCGGGACGGGCCGACGGGGGAGGTCTGTCTCTGCGTGTCTGTGTACGGACTATCATACCGGTATGATAGCTCCGTCACCAGCTATGGTCTCGTTCACCCGGATATCAGGACGCTCCAGAGTCCATGAACTGTAGAAGGCAGGCGCAGCCTACCACAGAATAATCTCGTACATAAAGGGCAAAGGATATAATGGACTACTAGCATAAAAATCACAGCGCAAAAACCTCTATAAAAATGTCTACCCCTGAATAAAGAGACTCAAAGAAAGGAGTAGGGGAAGACTACGCCACGCGAGCACAACAGCCCCCACCATCCTCCAAAACAGGAAAAACACCTCATCCCCAAGCCAGCATCCGAACCACGCCAAACAGACCCGTCGAGGCGACCCCAACAACACCACGTACCCACCCCCGTTCCTTCCCCGCTAATAGTCAGTACACACCATCCCTGCTCACGCCCATCCCCATACCGACGCCCCGAACTTCCACATCGCCCCTCTCCTTCTCCAACTTCCGCCTCTTGACGCCCCAGTTGATCAGGATGGGCATGAATTTCCATATGTCGAATTGCGGCCAGAGGTAGTCGGAAAAGACAATGTCGGTGTCCTGGTGGCATTGCCACATCATGAAATCGCTCAGCCGTTCCACGCCGCTGGTCCGCACGAGGAGGTCTAGCGGCGGGCAGCCCGACGTGAACATGTGTTGCGTTATGGTGTTCTCGGTGATGGACTCGATGTCCATCAATCCGGGGGTCGCCGTCTTGCCGGAGGACGTGGAGGTGGAGGTTGAAGACGATGAATCGCTGGGCGACGGGGAGGGCGGGGAAGTGTGTGGAATGGTGGACGAGGACACAATGTCCCGGATAGCGGTGGTCATCTCATCCCGAGAAGTGTAGGGGAAACAGACGTTCAGAATGGCCCTGAGACACGGGTCATCAGAGAGGCCCTTTATGGGGGTGGGGGTAGGCAACAAACCTGTCATTATGCTTCGTCATCTCCGTCGCCTGCTCAATCGCTTCGAGCACATCCTGTCTCAACAACGACCGGTGCCCCAGAATCCTTAGATTCGCCCCATACCGGTCCATCAACTCCCCATGCTGGCACAACTGTAAGAGCTTAATCTTTGCAATCTCCATGAGCGCGTTGACCTCATGGAGAGGCCTCTTGAAGTTTTCAATGGAGAATGCGTATATGGTGACCACCTTCACACCAGACTTATAGCAGACCTCCAAGATCTGCATGGGCCGCCCGGTTAGCTACCCTCCTCTAAAAAGGGAGGGGGGGAGGTATAACTCGCCTTCGCCAGTGCTTCGAACCCCATATTGTGCCCTTCCACCGTCTCGATATGATTACTCCGAGCGAACCTGCGATTCCCGTCCATGACGAAAGCGACGTGTTGAGGGACCGGCCCCTGGCGGAGAGCGTTAATCAATAGCTCCTGTAACTGCATCGTAGCCCATTCCACCGGCGGACTCGACAGTATCCATTTGCGGGTTCGTGAGGAGCCGTGGAGTGTTGGGGAAGGCATTCTCTCTCTTTCCTTTTCCTTTTTCTTCCCCCGAGCAGGAGCTTGCCGACGACGAAGAGGGTAGGGCAGGAAAGCTTACCCACCCGCCGTGGTATTCCAAGGAGTAATATTCGAGTAGGAGTCTCTCTCTCTCTCTCTCTCTCTCAAGGTATTATAGCGAGAAAGAAAAAAAAGCAAAGGATGAGAAAAATATGGACAAGGACTATCTGTCTCTTCACAGTAAAGAGACTGCTCGTGATTGTGGAGTATTCCCCCCCTTCGGAGCTCGAATAACTTGGCCCTGTCCTAGCTCCACGTCACCCAACCAGCCAGCGATGATCAATCAATTTTAGGCGAGATGCCGGGACCGGTATTGCCAGCCATCCCTTCCTCTTTGCCCCTGCGCTACACCCGTTTGGCTCGTAAGTGACACTCTTTGTCAGCAGAAGTCACGTTCAAGTTGATTGATCCAGTATGATACTGTACGAGTACGGAGTATGAGCATAGGAATGCGGCACAGTATGCCACGGGAAGACCTAAATTACAAAGGGATGAGCACCCTACCGTAACCTACTAAACTCGTGCAAAAGAGGAAACCATTAAAATGCCATCCTCTCTACCCTACATCACCGAAAAAAGCGAGTACAGTACAGCACTAGTACTCCAATTCCATGGGAAACAGCAATAGGAAAATAATACGGCAAACGACGTCAGCTCCTCCACTTACTCGAGTATTTCTTTTCACCATTCTTCCCGTGTTTTTGATTTGATCATTGAGGCGGATGCTGTGATTACCCGAACATTTCCTGATGCAGTGCCCCGTGGGTTAAGGACTAACCTTTTGTCCCTCTTGGCGTACTGTACGAGTACATAGCACTATTGGTATACTTGTGTATAGAAATCTAGCGAAGGACGATCACACCCGTACTCGTACCTCATAGCGAGGGGAGACTATTAAAGATATTCCACCTCGCTTATAGTTTCTTTTCCCCTCTTCCTCACCATTCTATAACTACCTAGAGAGGATTAAAAGAAAAACGTGCTTCCATCGGTGGACTCATCTCTGTGTGAATGTGGTCAAGGTTTGTATTGGCGGTATGCAATGGTACGGTACCTACTGCACTCGACCGATACCATACCAGTTGATCACTGTCACCAATGGAACCTGGCCGGCACACAGAAACCTTCTATAGTACAAATCCCCTTTCAGGTATGACCTTTGGATTGCGTCAATTGACAAATTTAGAGGGATTGCTGGGTATGAGAACCCTCAAGCTCTCGATATGTCTCTCCAGCAACCTCCTCCTAGCATCTGCCGTGCCCGAGGCATCAACCCTCCTCTGCCCACTGCCAAATATCACGGTATTATCCTCGATAACCTCACCCTCGAGAACCTTAGTCAACGGGCCCAATTTGCAATTCTATCCCTCACCTCCCCCACTCTCCGATTAGCACATCTCATACCTCATCCCCCGCAGCAGAGTGGAAACATACCAACCCAACGCTCCCCCCCTTCCCAATCCTGACCCCGACCTCGACAACGCTGCCAGCCCCGACGCTCCCCTCGACAACGGCATTGACCTCGACCACCACTCCATCCTCAATCACCAGACCCTCCGCACCCGGCGGGCAGATCTGGGTCCGCTCGCAGATGATGCAGTGCTCGCCTATCGTTATTGGCCCCTGGGCCGACGTGAGCTTCGCTCGTGGGTGGATGACGGTGTTTGCTCCGATTTTTATGGGAAAGGTCCCCGTTAGCGAGGCCGCTTCCGCGATCACTACCGAGGAGGCGAGCACTGTGGGCGGTTTCGCCACGGCTTCGGAGGGGCGGGGTTTTGGCGGCATTTATCTGCGGTGAAAGAGGAAGGTAGGGATTGAAGATTGAAGGGTTTGGACGCTTGGGGATTTGGTAACCATACGATATGGTACTGATAACAGGTTTCAAAGCACGAGCATGAAAACCATGAGGTTGAGAGGACTATTGTGCTTGACAACCAATAGAGCACGCTTGGCGCGGGAGACGCAGTGCGGTAGAACGCTGGAAGAACTCGGATGGAAGGTCCCGAACGATCTGCCGAGAGCTTGCAGGTGGGACCTAGCCATGGTACGATAACTTAACACTATCAGTGGCATCCTATCGCAAGTATTTAGCCGTGTGCTGCCACACTGCTCTGCAGCTTTCGAAAAGAAGTAGAATTAATATAATTCGTAGTCATGATAGATACTAAGGATCATTCCACCGAGAATCTATCACCATCACAATACTCGAGTATAGGCTATAACCAAACAACATTACTGCTCTTCACCAAATAAATAGTAAAAAATTTCCCGCAGCTGACTTTGTCTGATTAAGACTGGTCATATATACCTTACTACTAGCTAGGTAGCTCTCACCAGGCCATGTTGATTAATCTCTCACAATACCGTAGTACCGTATGACATTATCTTCAGAGACTGCCTTATCATTATATATACCGGTACTTCTCCATCCTCGAACCGGTTTTACAAACCCCCCCCCAAAAAAACCCAATTTCCTACCGTATTTTTAATAAGGGTTCTGCAGACTATGATACTGGTAAAATTCATCCTCTTCCCTCCTTTCTCCCTCGCAGGATTTTAAAAACCATTGAGCTATCGTACCGTATGATACCTGGAGAATATAAGTGATTTTTTTTTTAAAACTTATCATACATATGATACGGTACTCATTTGGAGGCAACCAGCCATCATAACAATATCACTATGATAGAATAGTACGGTATGATGTTCGTACTTGTATCGTGCGCTGAGAACTTTGGCCAAACCGGGTTTAACGAACCGGAACAGCCGTGATATCGTCTCGTGATATGCTTCCTCATCGGATGTTTGGACTGGAGTAACGCGGTGGACTGGAGTGACGGTAGGCGCCCCAGTTACGTTTAGATTGTTGGACCGGGAAGTGGATGGAGATCCGCATACTAGACTACCCGGTACTGTATTATACATGCACGGTACATGGTTCACGATAGCGTAGGTTCAGCATGATATGGTAGACTATACAAGATCGGTCTCGGGAGCGAGAATTTTCCCGTTCCTACAACGAGAGAGTGTGTGTTCTCGCATCAAACATAGCACTGGTGGAATGGTTAGTCTGATTCGGGAGCGGAATCTTGAAACTCTAGGGTGGGTGTTCGTTCTTATATATCAAGAATTCTTACATCCGTCGAGGGTTTCACTGCACGACAAGATGCCTTCATGTATGCCAAGAAAAACATATCATCATCGATTCGTATCCGGAGTTTCTACTACTGCTATACCATATATGATGTGATACCCATACGACTAACAGCAGACAATTCCTCTCCCAAAAGACAAAAAGGAAACCCTTATGCCACTCCGCCCACCCATCCACTAACCAACCTAAAACCCAACATCACAGACTTTCTTCGCGAGCGGAACCCACTTATCATAAGTGCCGATATCATAAGTGGTGGACCTCTGCGCGAACTGCGCCGCCTTTCCAATCGCCATATTTTGCCATCCGATAACCCCCTCCAGCGAGACAAAGAATTTATGCGAGCTAGTCTCGGGATCCATACAGTCCTCGACAGTCCCCCAAAACTGCGGCTGCTGCTGGAAGATGCCGACGCCGCGATCGCCGCCCGTGTCGTCGTGCGGGTAGTCCAGACTCTCTGGGACGTTCGTGTTCGCCAGGACAAGCATACCGGATTCCTGCATTCCCGTCACGATGCCGATCTGGCAGCCGCGCATTCCGAGGCCCTGCGCCCGCGCCACGGCCATGACTTGTCGCGCGCGAGTGGACTGGAGGGTGTCTAGTCCGGGCAGATCAGCCGTGTCATCGTTCGTGCAGCACTGAATGTGTGAGGGTCCTGGGCAGTGTCCGGGTTCGGATGAGCCCGTGCATGTCGAGGTTGGTTGGCAGAAGCCACGAGAGCCGGCCCAGGTGTGGCAGGTTCCGTACGTGCAGCACTGTCGTCGCCTCCGCCATCGTCATCAGTGTCGGTCCCGGCGGTGGGAGGCAAGTGGCGGGGGGGGGGGATGTATATATACCTGAATGGAGGAATTGCCAGGGCAATGCCCGGCTTCGGGTTTCCCCCCGTTTTTGCGGCACGCGGTAGTCTTGACACACTCTCCCTCACGACCTTTATTGATGACGCATGTCGGTGCGAAGAGCTCTGCTGCGGGGAGGAAAAATCCGAAAAAGAGACGCTCGAGGTGCATGTTGAGTTGGGTTCAAAAATGTTTTGGTGATGATGAAGGCCTGAGGCTGAATACCGAGCGAACACCCTGGCAACAGGGAAGGAAATCATTCCCATTTATAACCTCACTGGCCCTATCATACCCCGCCCCCTTACCAACTCATACCCACCAGATACCATCCAATACAGAAGCTTGAAAAAACAATCAGCACCTTCACCATCATATTGCACGAAGCCGTACCACGTTGAACTCCCGCTTGGCTCCTTACAATATGATCAGCAGCACAGCTCAGACTCACACCAGCACTGCACCCCACAAAGGGCAGACGAAACACAGTCTTTAGCATTCAGCTACGGCACTTCCCTAGCGCCTTCTAGCGGTGCAAACCCAGTAAACCCATCAGCCCTGCCGGTCCTCGCGTCCGTAGTGTGATATTACCCCCCCCCCCCTCGAGGAAGGGATAGAAAAGAATGCAGGTGAGGATTCCAGTAACAATACCTTTGCCCTTTTTTCCTTCCTTCCTTCTCCCCCGCAAGACAGCCACCAGCACGAATGATAGGAGTACGGTAGACAAAAAACTATTAATGCCCTCACGTGTTCCAAAACAGTCCAGTTCTGCCCGTCAGCCATCGTACGATGAAAACTGGACGAATTAAACCCACTCGAGGACCGCGGAGCTCGCATGATAGGTCCGGCCGTATTTTCCTCCGCGTACTTGTACCATACAAGTACAACATTGTCTCAGTTGAGGGCTGAAAGACGGTTTTTCCTTTGTCGTGCTTTTCTCCACCCGATCCAGAGGGAGTAGTACTGGATGTCTTACGGTAACATAGCCTAAGGTCTGATCCTTCCAGTTTTTTTTGCCAGAACAGCAATGTATCTCGAGTACCGGTATGATACTGTCCCCGAGCATGGTTTGATAGCACGGTTGCTCGCTCAGCGACACAATCCAACTCCCGGCGCCCGAAAGCGTCCTGGTGGCCACAGTATCATACTTGCCTTTTTCAGGGGGTATGATAACTCTACTTGTATCATACCCGGATCCGGAAATCGGGCCTGGCTTGGCTTGGCATTTATCGGCCCCATTCGACAACAGGGATATCATACCCAGAAGAAGAATCCAAAAAATGCAGTTAAAAATACTCGAGGGGTGCTTTTGGAGGGTTTGGCACTTTCTTATTTATTCATTTTATCTTACTGGCTCTCTGCACAAGATAACTCGTAGGCGTTATTGCAGGAAATAGTGCAGTTGTTTGTGCTGCCAAGCCATTCGTAAGCTTTGTGGGTATCGTGCCCTTGAAAACGGCGAGAACAAGTAATTTACAAGTAGCGTAGGCGGGGGGGTCAACGAACAGACCAAACAAAACCACCGTTCGCCAAGACCTTTTTAGTGTACTCGAGTACTTGTATTGTTCGCTGAACCCCCCTGTTCGTCGAGCCCCCGCCCATTTTACCATACTAGTACCCGAGTACCGTATGTTACTGAGGGCGTTAATGCCGAATTGGTTGCAATGTTACCGTAGGAAGCCGCTGAGTTAGGGCAGACAGAATTGCATAGCCACACACAGGCGTTTAGTTTAGAAAGGCCTGTATGGTTGAAACAGGCTTTACGAGTAACCATCCATCACACTAGTACCGTACGGTACTGGTGCCCGAGTGGATGGGTGCAAATGGCCTTGACAGAAAGGTCGTTGGAATCATTCCGAGACATTGAAAGCCAGGATAAGTTACGAGATGAGTCCGAGGCGCCGGTAGTGACTCACGGTGATGTCCGAGAATCGGGGTATTTGAGCCCTGGTGTATCGTCGAGCCGAAGCAAAGTTATCCGGACAGACAAAGTCTACGATACGATACGATAAGAACTAACTTTACCTGCTACCGGTACCGGTATTCTGTCTCGTCAAGAGAGCACCACTACATTGAGTCCCAGCGACCATGTCCACCCAACTCGACGATACCAGCACCACTACCGCGCCAACAGCAACGACAACGACAACGACGACGATGACCCCCTACCGCCAGATCCGCGCCCAATACACCGACACGACCGTAACCCTCTACCAAGCCTACCACCCCAGCATCGCTCTCCCGGCCGTGGCCAACCAATCCCTCCTCTCCTCCCCCTCCTTCCAGCTAACGCGCATGACCTGGATCAAGCCGAGCTGGAACTGGATGATGTACCGCTCCGGCTACGCCACCAAGACCGCCCACCAATCCCACATCCTCGCCCTGACCATGCCACGCGAAGCCTTCGAGCACATACTCTCACTCGGCAACCCGGCGAAGGGGGACGTGCGGATACAGTGGGACCCGGAGAGGAGCGTGAGCATCGGGAGGCTGGAGCACAGGAGCATACAGATCGGGATTGGGCGGGGCATCGTCGAGAAGTGGGCGGGTGAGTGGGTGGTCGGGATCGAGGATGTTACCGAGCTGGCGAGGAGGATTGGCGGCTTGGTTGCCGAGGGGAAGGTGGAGGAGGCGGAGGGGTTGAGGCCTGTCGAGAGGGTTTATCCGGTTTCGGAGGAGTTGAGGAGGGTTCTCGGCATGGATTTGGAGGAGGGGGTGGACGGTGGGGTGGAGGGCGGAGGTGCGGGGTAGAGCTGTGGTTGCGGCTTGCGCGGGCGGGCGGGCGGAGGCCTTCCTAGCCCTTTCATGGAAATGCTGTGCGTCACTGTAACCATAGACTATTTGTACCAGTACTCGTACATACCCTATGTTATCCTAAATATAGTGAACGCATCATCATAATTATCATACCTGAATAGACTAACCCCCAACAACAACAACACAAGACCGCACGCCTTTCCACAGGCATCACCGCATATTAGTCCCCCACACGCATCTTTCCCCACTATATCCTTTTATGATACTCAGCTCATCAGTCACGTTCGCGCCTGTCGAGGTGAAAGCTGGATATGATACCATACCCACCACCCCACCACCCCGCACAAGTTTGAAACCCGGAAAGTCACATACGCACCATAGAGAGTCCGGGTTTCTAATCCTGACAGAGACTATTCATAGTATTTATGTATGCAACCCACCAACCTGTACAGTATGATACAGCACGCCACGCCGTCGAGGATATCTGCGAGTTACGATAGTTACTTTGATACCCAACCGCCCGGTACAGTACCAACCAGGAAAAGCCAGAACCATCTTTCGACTCGACTTGGCCATCACGCCGATTACACGACGCCTGCGGACCACGGCGGGGGTTTGTACAAGTAGATCATATTATATTCCCGTCGGTCCATCCTTTGCTTTTCGAGCACAAGCCGCCCGCCATTATACCAGAACATACATTTCGATGCACCGGAGCGTTATCATATCATAACTCTGGTCTTCATTCTCTCCGTATATACAGTATAATATGTGCGTGATTCCACTCGGGCACGCCGGATTAAAGACACGTTGAATACCCGTTGTGGCGCCTCGCGGAGGGAATGTATATATCCGTTCGGGGGATGTTGATTTACTCACTTGATGGCAGAGATAATTAGCTGCTGGGTGGTGCAGCGGGTTATGCATCTTGCCATACGGGTGGAATGGAACCCCCGACAGAAGCTCTGAACCGTTTGCGCGGAAGGATAGCTACTTGGCCATTTATAAAGTATTCGGACGCCTTGGCATTATTAGCGCCTGTGTGGGTGCAAAGCGTCCGAATACTTTATAAATGGCCAAGTATGTTCACGCACAATCACTCGGAAATGGCGATTTCTCAACCGGGTATGGTGTGACGGTGCCGTGGGTGCGTTTAGAGTTTCCCCCCCTTCACTATGATACCTATAGTGCATTGCATACTGGTATATCTATCGCAAGCAAAAAAAAAAAAAAAAAAAAAGGAAAGGAGCATCGTGGTGTCCGGTCCTATCAATCAGTTAGCAATGCATCGCAAGATAAGTTACTTGTACATGTATCATGTGCAGAAGACATTACTAGTATAACAGGCTCACGACGTCAGCCCGTCCAAATACCATGTCCGAAGGGAAGTGGGATCGGGTTCGTCGGTCCGGTTTTTGAACAGATAATTCACTCGCACCGTGAAGATGAGTCCAAATGAACGATCAACGATGGAAATAAGGAAAGCATTAACCACTGGATCAAATCTCGGTGCCATCACGCTCCGTAGAGTACCGGTACGGCGTTAACTTATCGCCCGGGTGTGAAAGGCATGATTGATACGGTACTGCGCCTTCACTGCCTCCGCCCACCCACCCCCCCCGTTCGTACTTGTACCACCTGTCTTCCCACCCTTACGCGTTCGACACTGGCCAGGCTATCATATCATATCATATCACAGCATAGCATAGCAGCGGTAGTATAGTTTCACATATTCAAATCTAGCAGTACTGTACTGTACTGTACTGTACTCCCCAACAACGGGCTAGGAGGTGAGATGATCAGATCAGTTAGGCGGGGCATCGAACCACACACATACAAAAAAAAAGGACACAAATCTATATATTGTTATTTGCGGAGGTGGAAGAAAACATTACATTACGTCTTGGAATTGTTAGCCCACGCCCGCGCCCTGGGGTCCTACGGTGTGAGGGTGGCTTGTGCGGTACTGTACTATACTGGTACAGTAAGAGTATCACACCGGTAAGTCCGGTACAGTAGTAACACCGATCAGTACAGCACAGTACAGTACAGTATTCGTAATGTAATCTCATACCGGTATCATATAGCACGGCCGTCAAAACTTGGACTATTCACCGGCACTGATATCCCCAACAAAGGGGAAAAAAAGAAAAAAAAGGAAGGAGAAAATCCGGTAGATTAATTTTACAAAAAGTGCGATTCGGGATCTACTCGGGTAATGTACAGTATATTCCTCTTCTCTTTCTCTCTCTCCTACCCCCCCCCAAAAAAAAATTGTGCACCGCCACTATACCATACATCCAACGTATTAAGTTATACAATATAACGATTACAATTATGCAATCTCTCCAAATCCTTACGCCATCACATATATCATACCCAGAGATGGTGAGTGTGGGGGAGGGGGAGTCTCCCGTATCACAACATATCCATCTCCCTTCCCAAGCGAAATGCCTCGTTCCTGCTAAGGTCTATATCGTGTATGTATCTATGTATCTATGTATCTACTTACTGGGGGGGACTTGATAGGAAAGATCAAAAGTCTTTTCTGTATGATAATCGGGCTTTCACTGCGCTAGGGGCATACAGTACATACTGTAACCCTCTTTTTCTTTTTCTTTTTTTACGCTCGCTTTAAGCGGGATGGAGAATTAGCAATCGCAGAAAAGAAGCTCTCAGTTTTGGTGCGTTTTGCGGATTGTCACATTGATCTTGTTCTCCCCCGTATGATACCGATACCCCGAGTCGAGTGAGTTTCCGTGATTATGCCAGGCTGTTTCTACCCTAGATGGCCTTTTCGGAAGGAAGGAAGGAAGGAAGGAAGGAGGGAGGGAGGAAGGGAGTTTACTGTAATCTTCTAATTTTTATGAACGGCACCACCACCACCACCATCATCATCATCATCTTCTGAGTCCGGTTCGTCGTAGCCAGCCCCCTGAACATGATCCCACTCAGCGGCAATGGCGGGTTCGCCAAAGCCCGACCCCAAGCCAGCAACATCTCCATCCATCCCCATAGCGACCATGATACTCCATCTGAGCTCGTTAATCCCAACGCGCTTTCTCCTCTGCTTGGCAGGATTCGCGGCCGTGCCGATAATCTCGCCGAGGCCACAACTCACCCTCCGAGCGCGCCAATCATCTGCCTCGCGCTGGCCTTCCCGGTCATCCCCCTGGAGCGCCGCGCGCGCCCGGACCAGCCTCCTGACCAGCTCCGCAGGGTTCAGCCTATCCACCTTGGAGAGCACGACCTGGAAGGCGACGCCCTGCTCCGCCAACGTCTGCACCATGAGCCGGTCGAAGCCCTTGAAGCCGTGGTCGGCATCGATGAGAAGGAAGACCCTGCGCAGCTCCCGCCGTCGCTGCAGGTACTTCAATACCTGCACTCCCCACTCATCGCGGGAGTTGTGACCGTAGCCCGGCATGTCCAGCAGCACGCCACGCCCGCCGGCGACGGAGTACGCATTCAGTAACTTCGTGTGGCCCGGTTTGGAGGATGTGTGCGCAAGTGGCTTGCCCAGGAGGGCGTTTAGCAGTGAGGACTTGCCCACGTTGCTGCGGCCCAGGAAGGCCACCTCGGGCGCTGATCCGAAGCATATGTGCTTGAACTTGGAGGCCGACCACATGTGCTGTGGCTGGTGGCGGGTGAAGAATTTCACGGCGGTGCCGAGTTGGGTGCTGCTCGGCGCCGGGGTTTCCCACCGGTAGGAGGAGCCCGTTGGGTGCTCGGCGTATTTTTCGAGGAGGGCCGCAGGGTTGGGGTTCCCCTTGTGGGTGGGCTTTGGCTGAGGGGGAAGGCATAACATGCGGGTGGAGGGGGAGGAGGGGAGTGCGCGAGTATGTGTGCGCAGGCTTCGCAGGGCCGGGGTGGCAGTGGCGGGGGGGAGGAGTATGCTTGGTCGCATTGTGCCGTAGGCCGTACCGATGTTATTATTGCTAGAATCGGGAAAAGTTTGTCCTACTGCGGGTCACTTCCCAGAGGTTGTGATTGTAAATGCGCGCTGATGGGACGAACCTCGTAGTGAGATGTGCAGTGTGCACCTGGGTTAGGTCTTTTTTTTTTTTTTTCTATCATACATAATATTGATACAGCGTCTTCACTATTCTCGCCCCCGCTGCCCGCGCCCCCAACCGAACTTCCCCCAACTTAGCCACCAAGAGTACCCACAACACCTGACGAGGCGGAGCGTGATATCATCGTGCCTTGTGCCACTGGAAATCACAGTACCGGTACCCGAGTATCACAACTTCCGTCCGCCTTGTCCCTTATCAATCACTAAACCCATAAATACCACCGGACCACTCCCATCACCGTGCGTCAACAGAGCCTCCAAGACTAAACCTACACTTCCCACACCCCACACCCACCCACAATACTGCACACCACCCACCGCACCATATGACCAAGGCTACAGCATGATACTCAATCATCTCGATAAATGGGGAAACCAGGATACCAATGCCACGCCTAACCCCCCGCGCGCATGGCAAGTCAGCTGGTTTCTATTTACGAGGGTTTTGTGTATTAACCAGACTAGAACTAGAAGATTATCAAAATAAACTAACCAACTCCGCACAAAAGAGACAAAGGAGATGATAAAGGTAATAACACGTGGACAATGAAAAAGAAGGGCGTGAGAGGGAATATGAAGAGAATTGCTAATACATTTTACAAGAAGTGAATGGAGGAACAAAAGGAGTTGATTTTCAAGAATCTGAAGAGGAATTTGGCCGGAAGGAGGAGAGTGACAGAGGAGATGCGAGAACGCAAGGGAACAAAGAAGAGAGTAGGCATTGCATGTATAAACAGTAATCGTTCTTTAAGGACACCCTCGGCCAGATTAAGTCGGGTGGATGGGCGGACCGCTTGCGTTCCAGATATTCAACCGACTTCGGAGGGAGGGAGGGATGAATGATATCGCTGTTGCTTCTCGCTTCGTAAAACTCGCCCCTCCACCCGGTTGTGCGGATTAAGTCGTATTTATTCTTATTGACATTTTCTTGTCAACTTTCCAGTTTTCCTTTTATTTCTGTTCCAGGTCCCGCCGTCATTGAGGCGAGGTGGGGTGGATATCATCAACCTTTAGTTTTTTAAGAAAAGAAAGTTCGCATGTAGATAGGAGTAACGATTATCGCAGGGCTTTTTTTTTTTTTCCTCCCCCGAAAGGGCTTTATTAGTCGGTACGAACGAGACCATGAGCGGGAAAAATTATGACTGTCCGGGGGTGCCGGTTGAGTCCGGATATACGAAGAAGCTGATTGCGATGATAGTATATCTATAGCAATCATCAGCTGGGGCTCAGCAAAAGGGACAAAGAGACATTTGTTACTCACATTCCTAATAACATAGCCCCCTCTAGGTAATTGCTCTTCCCGTCTTGGATGAGATAGTTTGTGATGAGTACGCTCACAAAGAACACCACCGTCTCAAAAGTCTCAAAGTACAAGCTCATGGGCTGCCCGATAATCCACCCAAGGATGACCAAAAACGGGGTGACCAGCAGGGCGATTTGCATGCTGCTACCGATAGCGACACCAATGGCTAGGTCCATCTGCAAACGAGTGCTGGTTAGCTCGTGTTTATTTCCTCTTGTCCGGTGGAACGCATTAGATCCCAGCAATATTGCTCATGATTTGTCCGACAGGGACGAGGGCGTCGCGTGGCACTGATATCGCATCACAGGTAGGCAGCAGCCCTCTGCGGCTGAGACGCGGGAAAATGGTGGGCGCATGCGTGGGGTACATGATTATGCGGAACGATAATGAGAAAGTCCCTGTAAGGGCAGGAAGGGGAAATGACAAAGGGGCAAAGGAAAGAGCAAATGCGGAATTTTTTATCATTCTAATAGGGTAATAGTGATATTGTTGCACGAACCTTGTTTTTCATAGCCACCACGACCGCTGTGACGTGCTCGGCAGCGTTGCCCACGATTGGGATGAGAATCAGCCCAATAAAAGTCTTGCTTATACCTGAGCTGGCAACTATGTCGTCTATTGAACCAACCAAGTATTCCGCACAAATCGCGACCAGGACTGTCACCACCACCAAAACAATTCCCGATTCGACGCCCGATAGCAGCGCTGTCTGCTGCTCGGTGGGCGGTGACTCGTCGTCGCTCTCGACAGATTCATGTTGAGCGTCGAAGAGATAGGCGTGAGTGCCGAGCTGGAAACCCAGGTAAAGGACATAGAGGATCAATAGGACTACAGATGTGCCACGGGATAAATCGAGGATAAGTCCGAACGATGCTTCCTTAGACCCGGGGAGCGTCGAATAGAGAGCTGCAGGAATTATCAAGGACGACGTCGCGACCGCCATGAGTGATGACATGGTGGATGCAACAGTGGTGTTGAAATTCTGTTCCTTGTGCTTGAGACCCCCGAAAAAGAAACACATTCCCAAGACCTGAGCGAAAAAAAAAAAGAGCGCAGTTAGAACCCAACAAATCAACGCCGAATGGTAGAAAAGTGATATGCAAACCCACCAAAAGGATATTGGATAAAATACTACCCAACATGCTTGCCTGCACAATCCGGATTTCCCCCCTTGTAAGTGCTACAATGCTGACAATCAATTCCACCGCATTCCCAAATGTCGCATTCAAGAGCCCGCCCAGAGTTTCTCCCACCATAAAGGCTAGCTCCTCGGTAGCGAAGCTGAGCAAGGCCGCGAGAGGAATAATGGCCAAGAAGTTCACGATGAAAACCGCAGTCGGGTTCCATCCCATGGCGCCTGCAATGATTCCGAGGGGCACAAAGACGAGAAGGATGTTCACGTAGTTGCTGAGCAAAATGGCCTTCATTTTGGAGCATACATGCCGAACGAACCCATCCCCCTCAGGCCCCCGTCCCTGCGGTGCCGTATACCCATTCCCATTACCATAGCCGACGGCATAACCGTTTCCGTTCGCCCCATCCACGAGAGGATCTCGTTCCGAGTCTTGTCTAGAAGGAAGGCCTCCTTCGATATCCCCTCTCAAGGGAGGCATCGGACCGATCCCACGTGCGATTGAAGAGAGACGCCTTTTTAATAACGCTGTCCAAATTCTCCAGCAATGGCGCCGATACGGCACCAGGCCGGTCTTTGTTAGCCGAATACCCTTCAGTTTGAAGTTTTACGTTCGCGGTTCCAAAAGGGAGGGTGCGGGTATCCGAGAACAAAAAAACAGGGCTGTAGATACAATAGTAAAAA